TCCAAGGGGCACTGTAACACCACCCCAATGTCCATTCATCTCCTATCCATCACACACCCTTTCCCCAGAACATACCTTCTCCTATGAAGCATTCTGAACACTTATTTGGAAATGTCCCATAAAACTCAGAGAGATCCACTTCCAACTAGATGCACATAGGATTGCATTGCTGACCCTTGTCCTCTGACAGTTGTAGCGGAAGATAAGCAAAGTCCCTGTAGATGCACTGGAGTTTGAGGGTCTTCAAAGTCCAGTGAAGCTGCAGAGACAACCCCCCCCCCCATTTCAAGATTCAGACTTGGAGCTGGGACTGGTTTTGGCCCATTGAGGCACTCAGAGTGCCTCTTCTGCCAAGTGTCAAAACAGCCACCTGAAGAGCTGAGTGGGAAGGGTGGGTTTTTGTTTTGGCACTAAGCAGCAGAGACACTCTAAGTGTGATTCAACCAAAGAGCACCAAAAAAGGAAAGCAAGTGCAAGCTGGATTTAGAAGGGGCAGAGGAACCAGAGACCAAATTGCAAACATGCGCTGGATTATGGAGAAAGCTAGAGAGTTCCAGAAAGACATCTACTTCTGCTTCATTGACTATGCAAAAGCCTTTGACTGTGTCAACCACAGCAAACTATGGCAAGTTCTTAAAGAAATGGGAGTGCCTGATCACCTCATCTGTCTCCTGAGAAATCTCTATGTGGGACAAGAAGCTACAGTTAGAACTGGATATGGAACAACTGGATACAGTTAGAACTGGATATGGTTCAAAATTGGGAAAGGAGTACGGCAAGGCTGTATATTGTCTCCCTGCTTATTTAACTTATATGCAGAATTCATCATGCGAAAGGCTGGGCTGGATGAATCCCAAGCCGGAATTAAGATTGCCGGAAGAAATATCAACAACCTCAGATATGCAGATGACACAACCTTGATGGCAGAAAGTGAGGAGGAATTAAAGAACCTTTTAATGAGGGTGAAAGAGGAGAGCGCAAAATATGGTCTGAAGCTCAACATCAAAAAAACCAAGATCATGGCCACTGGGCCCATCACCTCCTGGCAAATAGAAGGGGAAGAAATGGAGGCGGTGAGAGATTTTACTTTCTTGGGCTCCATGATCACTGCAGATGGTGACAGCAGTCACGAAATTAAAAGACGCCTGCTCCTTGGGAGAAAGGCGATGGCAAACCTAGACAGCATCTTAAAAAGCAGAGACATCACCTTGCTGACAAAGGTCCGTATAGTTAAAGCCATGGTTTTCCCAGTAGTGATGTAAGGAAGTGAGAGCTGGACCATAAAGAAGGCTGATCGCCGAAGAATTGGTGCTTTTGAATTCTGGTGCTGGAGGAGACTCTTGAGAGTCCCATGGACTGTAAGAAGATCCAACGTATCCATTCTTAAGGAAATCAGCTCTGAGTGCTCACTGGAAGGACAGATCCTGAAGCTGAGGCTCCAAGACTTTGGCCACCTCATAGAGAAGAGAAGACTCCCTGGAAAAGACCCCGATGTTGGGAAAGATGGAGGGCACAAGAAGAAGGGGACGACAGAGGATGAGATGGTTGGACAGTGTTCTTGAAGCTACAAACATGAGTCTGACCAAACTGCGGGAGGCAGTGGAAGACAGGAGTGCCTGGCGGGCTCTGGTCCATGGGGTCACGAAGAGTCGGACACGACTAAACGACTAAACAACAACAACAACACCCTTCCTCTCAAACTCCCATTGGCTGTACTGTGCAGTCTGAAGCTCAGCCCAGCTGTGGAGGATGGTCTCTGCATCCTCTTCAATTCCAGGCTGGAGAAGGGGAGACACCTTCACCAAAGACAATGGGATGCTTGCCATGGTGGCAGGCAGATTTCTGACTCAATGGATCAATTACCTTTGTTCTGAGCCAGGACCCCTTGAGCCCAGTAAGCCTCCAGATTTTGTTGCTACTTGTGGCTGCACAAACGGGAGAGGCTGTCAAGCATCTTGCAGGCCATCACGGTGGGCTGCACTGTTTGGTAGGGTTGTTCACAAAGTGCAGGCTTATCCTGACAGCTCCCAGCGGCTTGTTAGTTAGGTCTGATCAGTTTCCAAACAACAGCAATTCTCTGGATGATGCCCCCAAAAGAAGCAAATTCTGCTCGAAAGTTTCCCAAGGTATTACGAGACCTTAAGGACCCCTACCAGCCTTTCGTCAAAGGTGGAGACTTTTCAACAAGCTCTCCATGTGCGTAGAGGCAGAAAGGAACAAGGCCCCAATGCCCTGCTCCCATGGACCCTGCTAGGGAGTGTGCTAGGACAATGGCCCTTTCTTGCTTTAAACATAGGGATGTTTTTCTCCCTACCCCACCCCTGTCTCAGAGCAGCACAAGGCAGCTCTGGGTGCTCTCTGGGACCAGGCAATTCCTCTCGGGCTCCTCCAGCTGCCTCTGTGCAGAGGCCTCTGGGGACAATGAAGGATTCAAGCTCTCCAAGAAACCAGAACAAGAGTCAATCCAAATGCCATGGAGATGAACTTTGACCCAAACTCCTCGACTTCCACCCCCTTATTTACTCTCAAAAGCTAACAAGTTCTGCAGAGTTAACACAACACCTCCCCTTCCCAGCTAGCCTCCTCCCATGCATCCCACACAGCTCAACTTTGACCCCTCTTAATTACCTGCGCTCCCCTCCCCAGGGAGATTAACCTCCACTTCCACTCACACGCTTTCCTCCCATTCAAGCCACAACCAGCTGCAAGCCCTGCATGGCACGAGATCTCTCTACATGGCCCTCGACTTCGGCACCCATTCAAGTTAGAGGAACGTTCGGCAGCAGAGCTAGTCATGCTCAAGATCCTGCAAGTATTGTTCAGCCCTGACTGTTGCCAGGACGGCTGGGGAGTCACAAGGGTGGGAAAAGCAGAAGCACCCACAAGATTCCACCTGTGGGGGAAATGCCAGTCATGCCTCCCACCTGGGCTCATAACAAGTTGAAGACGGAGAGGACCTCGCAGGATGGTTTCTTCTAAGACATTTTCTTATTTAGCCAAGCAACTGAACTGACAACAGGGCAGGGGAGCAGTGGTTTTTGTTTTAAGACCTTGCAACAATGAAAGAAACATCATTGTAGAATATGTTCTCTATGCTCTGAACGGAAATTTTTTAAATTCTCATATATATATTTTTAGATCTTAAGGCTTGTTACTTATTAACCCAATCCCTACAATATGTTGAACACCATCAGATTTTTCTAGTCCTCTGCCAGGCCACTATTCCACCTAGAAGAGTTTTGCAATTTGGAACCAGATGATATTTTTTTCCATGCTGTTAGAAACAGCATGGGGAACTAAGGATTGGGAGGTCACGGGGATGGATGAGCCCCTTCGCCTGTGTAATTCTCTGGTGTGGATGTGTGCCTATTTGACCCGGAAAGTGTCTTTGCAGTAAGTGGCACCTTTGGGAGTAGGACATTTTAGTTGGTAAAACGGTGTAGTAGAAGAATTGAAGCCCCTTTCCTGCAAGCCACTCTCCCAATCTAGCGTCTACGTCTCCCTCCCTCTCTCTCTAAATTTGGAAAATACACTGCCCATCACAAGGCGTTTCCTGTCATCCACACACTATGCACTGCACCATGGCACACAATGGACTGTTGCCTAACACCACCCTTAAAGGGAGAACTCCTTGCAGGGGGAACTCCTTCTCAGTAGCTCCTTAAGAGGCTTTCCAAAGGCTCGATTGCAGCATCCTTCTCTCACAGGCTCATAAACTATAAGGAGCTGCCTTATACAGAGTCAGGCCATTAGTCCACCAAGCCTTTCTCTGCCAGCCCTGATGGGAAGTAGCTCTCCAGGATCTTTCCTAGCGATGCTATGTGAGGTTCTGTAACTAGAGATGACAGGGACTTTGCATGCAAGTCATGTGCTCTACCCTTGAGCTATGGGTACCACTTAAATGTGGAATCACTGCATTCCACTTTCTCTCAAGAAGTGCCGGTTCCAGTCACCAGGCATAACAATCCCAGAACTGTCCACAACCACAACAGGGATGGCCATTGTGTGGGCTGATTCTATTCTCCAGGCAAATTTGGGGGTATGGACAATCGGGGGGGGGACACCTCTCCTACCTCCCGCTCCCCACCCCACAGTCAGCTGGATCCTGTAAGATGGCATCACTTTGGAGTAAAGGAATATGCACTTGGACATCATAAAGTCACCAAACAGAGGAGGAGCCAAGGGTCAAATGTGCTTCCTGAATGATTCCCTGACCAGTCAAAGTCAGCAGTAGTCCTTTGCTGGAGACAGCACAATGCAACAAATCCACACGTTGGTTCGTAATTTTGCTTTCTTAACAAATGAAAGGCGTTATGAACACTTTCAGGGCCTCACCTAGCTGCTATTCCAGGTTTACGCTATGACTTTAGACTATGTACATGAGGAGAAAAACAAAGTAGCCCTGAGGTGGCAGATTAGGGTACCATTTCGGGCTGCAGGTAGGAGAAATCTTGTTTCTAACAGTCTCCTGCATATAATGCTCTTTCTGCTGCACGTTGTTTTTCTACTTGCAGAGGGATTTTTAAATGCGGAGAAAGCATTAAGAAATGGCGAGCGTAAAAAAAGAAAAGAAAAAGAAAAAAGAAATGGTGCGCGTAAACACACACACCCCATGTTTGAATCCTGAGCTCGCACAGTCCACTCTCATCGCCACCTCATTCTATTGCACATGTGGACCAAGTTTTAATTCAGAAAGAAAGAGTGGGGAGGGCACATATCACTGGGATGCCTGCCTCTCTCTCAAGGCACCGCAAGACAAGAGTTGCTGAGCTGCCACCAGAGAGAGACTGCAAGCATGGCCTCCATCACTGGCCTGGAGTTCTTTACAACTTGCACATGGCAAAGAGCACTAATTACATCAAGAGAGGCATAATTAGAACTTTTGACAGAAGGATCCAAAGGGCCAAAGAGCATAATAATTATGCACTGTGTGGGGGGTACATTATAAAAAAAGTTTTGAAAAATACCCCTCACCCCAGATGGCATTAATGGGCACTCACCATCCTCCTGGCTGTGGATGTTCTGCGGGCTGCGCATCCCTTCCTCCTGGCTAGGACTCAGACTGGAGTTAAGATGCTGGTCAGCTGACATCCATGTGGAGTCACTCATATCAAAGTCCTCACTGCTCACGGATGTCTCATCCTAGAGAGGAGCAAGAAAGGGTTAAAAGATAAACCAAAGGGAGGGGTGAGGGTGATTCCGCCTTTCTACCAGCCCTCACCCACCCACCCTTCTCTCCCCACCCCTAAATCCCGGTGGCCCCCGACTTCCCAAGCACAGCCCATTTCCCACTGAGGCTTCCTGTTTGAAGATGTGAAGATGACGAATGACAGAGAGCTTAATTAAGGGCAATTAGGCAAGGCCTGCTTCCAGGGACAGATTGCTTTTGCCCTGCCTGAAATCCACCCTCCCCATGGCAGAGAGCTGCCTGCACCAGCCTGGCTATACGAGCCATGCAGACGGGGCAAAGCTTGCGCATACTGGCAGGTTAGCTGCTAGAAGCAGGTAGCAGACAATGGAACGCTTGTAGGAACTTGGCATGGAAAAACAAGCTGCTGTGGTTGGAGCCTATTATACATACCAGAACCAGGAGATCCTGTATCCTGGATATTATTCATAGTCCCCTCGGCAGCATCTCCCTGCCATCGCCCCCGTCAGGGGACACAACATTCATGTCTAAGTCTTATCTTGTTTATCCTTCCAACAATCCCAGGAGGTAGATTAAGAAAGTGTGACCCACACAAGGTCATCCGGGGAGCTTCTTGGCTATGTGAGGATTTGACCCTGGGATCTCCCACATCTAAATGCAACTACGCGAACAATACGATGCTGCTCTTTTACATTTTTCTAGTGCCATCCGGGTGCCAGGTGCTGCACAGAGTATGGATGTGATGCGGTCTCTGCCTAGATATTTTTGAAAATATACAAGAGAGGGATGTGGCTGTTTTGGGCAGAACAGCAGCAAAAAGAAAGAAGCTGAAGAATAAAATAGAATAAATGAAGCAAGGATGGGCAAGATGATCAAGGACTGATAGGTGAAGGAGATGCATTTTAAGGGAAAAATTCAAGAAGGTCATAGCCAAAGAATCAGCAGTAGTGGCATTTCATATTTGTGCCGTGGGGAGGGGGCTTAAGGAAGACCCTTAGCAAGCAAGAAAAAACTACTTGAGGATACATGACTCACAAAATCCAGTACATATTAAGAGCTTTTGCAGTATTTTTTTGGTAAAACACACCTCAGTAATCGTAGCAAAAGCTATCAAAAGAATTATGTGACACTTTAAAGATGGACAAATTTATTTTGGCAAAAGCTTTCACAGACACAAGCCCACTTAGTCAGACACAAGGCTGTGAATCCACAAAAGCTTATGTCATCATATATTTGCTAGTCCTTAAGCGCACACAAAAATCTGAATGCTTGCTACAAGAGACTAACATGAATTGCCCTCTGGAACTAACTATACCAGTGCTTAAAAACACAATACAAATACCTGATCCACCATAGCCAAATTCTAGAAGAACTTTAAATTTTCTATTTTGGATTACTGGTTGCGAAGGGTTTGGGGAGTGCCTTCATTTTAAAACCTCACCTGCAAAATGAGAATACATAAGCAGCTCAAGAAAGTGAGATCAGTTTGTGGGATAAAGTACTCCCTTACTGAATATGTAAATGCATAAGGTGGCAATAGCTTGGTTCTAATCCAATACAAATCTGTTTGGCTCTTTTAGGCCTGATACGTGTTTGCACTGACTCCCTCTCCCTCTCCTATCTCTGATCCTGCTGTAAGCAAGTACTATGAATATGCTGAGGACATTAAGCTCTCTGGGGAAGGGAGGGTCAGTGGATGCTGGTGGGGGGAAACTGAATTTTTTTAGTTCTGAATACAGTATGGTTTTATTCTGCATTTTTTTGTGTGTTCAAGTTTTTTGTATCAAAATATAAAAGCAATACAACCTACCTGCCTTCTCCCACTCCTGGTCCACTTTTTCTTAATTAGCAAAGAGATGTGTGCCTTTGGCATGCCTGCCTGATAGGGTTGCCATATTTCGAAGAGCAAAAAAGAGGACACGTTTGCCAACTTCTGCTTTTAACTACGGATCACTATGACAGCTCTACCCATGAAAAAGAGGACATGTCCTGGAAAAAGAGGACATATGGCAACCCCTGTTTTTATTGTTTGTGACAATAGTTACTCAAGAGTGTAGAGCCAACATGTTGGCTGGCAATGAAGATCTTCCCATGGGGAGAAAATCACATATGGCCTGAAACCGGGTGAAGAGTAATTTCCATCTGCTCACCTTAAACAGTGGTGTAGAGAAGTGAGGCTCTCAGGCAAACGACCACAGAGAGAAAAGAAGCCTGACCACAGGCACAGAGACAGGTGTGGTAGAAGATGTGACCCATAAAAAAAAATAGGTAATTGTGCCACATGCCCCACCTGAAAGCTGCCTGCTCACATAGCCAATTATTGTGGAAGTTGAAGCCCGATAACATTTAGAGGGCCAGAGGTTCGCCAGCCTTGGCCGAGAGGAACCCAACACAGAAATGATATTAACAGGAAATGTGGAGAGAAGAGCAGCAAAGTAAAATTAGAAAATGCATATAAAATGCCCCCATTAAAATGCTATTAAAGTCCTATTTAACAAATTATTTTTACTGATGGTTATACTAATATTTAATGCTATTTCCAACTGCTCCAAGCACTTCACATACATTATCACAATGATCTTACAACAACTCCATAAGACAGGCTGGCATTATTACCCCAATGCTGGTGGGAACGGGGCGGGGGGGGGGAGAGAGAGAGAGAGAGAGAGAGAGAGAAGACAGTTCGCCTAAGGAGCCTCCCTAATTCATTTTCCCACTTCAGGCACTTGATCATGTGGGCTCTAGTCCATGAGTGTTTCTGCTGCAATAAATAAATATTTATATTCATTTGTTATATTTATCAGTTCGTCATGCAATGAGCCTCTAGGCAAGTGCCACACTAAGGCGCTACAGGAACTTGCTGTTTGAACAAACACAGTTTATTTCTATCCAGAAGCTTGCTTCTTCAGAAGCAGCAAACTTCCAAGAATCAGATGTTGGTGCTGAATAACGGAAAGTGATCCTCACCGTAACGGCCCAGTAGTAAAAGTGGTCCACACTTTGCATAGTTAAGTTGGTTGCCTCGGCATGAAAAGCACCAAATAAACTTAACAAAAATGCACCTCTCTCTATCCATAATGGTGAGCATCTGTGAGGCTCCCAGGTGCCTATACATGAGTATTTAAGGATACACACTCGTAATTCACACTGCACTGCTCCTACAAATCCAGAGAGTTGTTCATCTCTGGAGCCGAACAAAAGCAAAGGGAGCAGTTCATCCCACCAAAGAGTTGAGGGACGGTTTGTCTTGCCAAGTACAAACTGATATGGTGGGGAATCCCACTGCAGAGACCCCGCTGAAGTGAACAGGAGGTACATCCTTTCTTGCCTCCTGCATGGGCCAACGGACTTTGTGCAGGGGATGTTTCTGGCAAATCGTGCCTTTTATCCTCTTATCTCCTGGTGCCACAGGTGGCAGGTGCCCGTTTGAGGGTGCTCCCGCTGGTCTGCCAGCTGAATAATAATACTCTGTCTAAGGGTTCTTATTTGCTGGAAGGGGAACAAACACACCCTCTCAAAGGTCGCAGAAAACTTTGCCTGGCATCTCCACGGCACTTCCTATGGAATTGATTGCATTCCTGTCTCCCACTCCCGCGGTCAAGAGGACATTCTCATGTGTGCACCCTCTTTCTCTCCTCTCCTCTCCCTCCCTCCTTCCTAACCTTCACTGTGCTTTAAGGCACAGGCCTTGGATGGCTTCCAGAGCCGGAAAGGTCAGCCACAAGATTTCAAAATCATCAGCGTCACCATAAAGGCAGTTAAGAGCCTGCATGAACGGAAAAGCGGAGGGACCCCTCCCTAAAAGACCCCTGCGGCAAGGGCTGACAGAGCAGGACTCGATGCGAGCCCCTGTTCCAAGGCATTTGCTTTAATGGGTTTTCTGCCTGCCTTTTTCCTCCTGAAATGATAGGCAGACCACATCCCTAGTAATGGGCTAGAGCCACTGGGCATACGAACACAGAGTTGTTGTTTTTTGCTCTCTTTAGCCTTGTTCTTTGAACAGCTTTTCAAAGGCAGCTCAGACCATCGCTGGCCCGCCTACCTCTGCAAATGAGCCTCAGACCAGATAATCCAGTGAGGATTTTGGGGAGGGCGTGGGAGCGGAACCCCCTTATCTCTTTTCAGCTTTTAGCATCTGGCAGCCAGGGGTATACAGCCTCTGCAGAGAAAGGCTGCGCTTCTGACAAACAAATCTATACTCATATATCTAACCTGTTTTTAAAAGCGGTTATTGGCTATCTCAACATCCTGTGGCAATGAGTTCTATAGGCAAGGCAGAAAAAAATGTTGCTTGAACACCTTTTTTAAAAAAGGGTTGGTCTTAGAACTTCTCAAACACTTTTTTTCAGACTCCTGGAAAGCTAATGCCTAAGTATCTGCTGCTGCCTCCCTTAGAAAGCTGACTCCTCTCTTGTTGACATAAGTCATTCAGATACGGGGAAAAGAGATGCTCTCTCCTGCTTGGAGTCCACCTGCTGCTTATCCATTTCTGAAGAGAACCCAAAGGAACTGCAACTCGTAGGGAAGCACTTTCTCCCTACTCATGACTTTATAAACGTGGGTAACATAACCCGTTCATTGTTTCATTCATCTTTTATCCTGCAAAGGCTGAATGGTGTCAAGCTGTTCTTCATAAGGAAAAGTGCAACCCACCCATTCCGACCTGGACATTTTAGTTGCCCTTTTATGAGTCTTCTTGTCTGCTTGGGAGCAACAACAAAACTGCACATACCATTTTAAAATGGAGATGCACCCTAGCAGGTTTATTCATCCTTTCCATCCATTTCCCAGCAATCCCTTCATTTTCAGTGTACCGGCCTGAAGCCAAAAAGTTATGAGGGACTGGACACTGGCCTCCCTTACCCAAACAGGCCCCTGGAAAGCTGCTCTACCCCCTCCCTCCCTCCCCTCCCTCCTTATTTTTCTTGAGGACAAACATCTTCAGAGCAGGCCTGAGCGCTCCCTCTTCCTCTTCCTGCCCTGCTGGCTGCAG